AATGTCAAAAATTTTAAATACGGATACCGATCAGATGGATTTAGAATGCTCCCCAGTCAAACCGAAAAAGGTCTATACGAGTGCTAACAAGTATAAGAGGTCTAATACAGATATTGTTGAAGAAGATTCTTTACATCAGAAAAATGACTCAATTTCCCTAAATGAATTTAATCAAGAAGCAACCACCAGTAAGGATTCAGAATGGTTTGAAGTAAGAAACAAAAAATTCAAAAGAAATTTAAATGAAGAATCAACATGCAAAAAAAACATCTTCAAATTCGAACTACTGGCTAAACCCAACTCCCACAAGCAATATATATGAAGTTTTAGCTAATCCTAATACCGAAGACTCGAGTGATAAATGCAGCCCAGTTAACAGACCGCCGCCAATTTTTATACATGAGGTACGTGATATCAAACCATTAGCTCAACTCTTAGAATGTGAAGCAAAAAATCTTTATCAAATAAAAGTTATTGACGAAACTAGGGTTAGAGTTAATCTTGATAATGCTAAACTTTACAATAAAATTCTCAAACTTCTGAAAGAGAGGGGTACTCAAATGCATTCTTTCCAGGAGAAATGTAAAAGAACGTTCAAAATAGTGGTTAAAAACCTACATTTCAGCACGGATACAGATATGCTCAAAAATGAAATACAACAGTTAGGTCACAAAGTCGTTCGTATTGAGAACATTAAAAGCAGAATCTCAAAATTCCCTCTGAACATGTTTTTAATTGAGCTTGAACAACAGCCTAATAATAAAGATTTTTATAAAATTGATTTTTTATATAAAACTAAAGTAGAAATAGAGGCAAAGAGGTTCTCTAGAGAAATTGTTCAGTGCACTCGCTGCCAAAGGTATGGTCATACCAGAAATTATTGCCACCGCACCCCCAGATGCGTTAAATGCGCTCAAGATCACTTGACAGAAAAATGCAAGTGGGAAAAAAAGGTCGACCAAGTGAAGTGTGTCCTTTGTAATGAAAATCACCCTGCTAACTATAAAGGCTGTCACGTCTATAAAGAATATATTGAAAAAAAAAACACTTCATTACGTCAGAAAACAAGTAATGTGCAAAATTTAAAACCAAATGCTACTTTAAGACCGGGCGTAACTTACTCCAATATTACTAGAAACAACACAACTTTACCTACTGACTCAACGAACTCAATAAACAATAGTAACTCTGAAAACAATACTAACAATAAATGTAATGACTTAACAGAACTTAAAAACATGATTAAAATATTGACAGAACAAATGGGCATAATGCTTAATTTACTAACAACAATTTTATCTAATAAAAAATAATTATGTCTATGCAACTAACAATTTGCATATGGAACTCGAACGGCTTGAGCAATCATGTCCATGAACTCAAACAATTTTTAACTACCAATGACGTAGACATTATGCTAATTTCCGAGACGCATTTTACCGAGACAAATCACAATATTCGTTTTCCTAATTATCACACATATACCACAAATCACCCGGACGACAGACCTCACGGTGGCACTGCCATTATCATAAAGTCAAACATAAGACATTACGAGACAGAACCTTTTATACTGACTACATACAATCGACAAATGTTTTAATTGACCTAATGACTCACAAAATTACAGTATCGGCAATCTATTGTCCGCCAAGGCACATTATTACTGAAAATCAGTTTACAACTTTTTTTACCAGCCTTGGAAATTTGTTTATTGCGGGAGGTGATTATAACGCAAAGCACACATTTTGGGGATCTAGACTAATAACACCTAGAGGCCGTCAATTGTATAATACAATAAATAATAATAATCTTCGGACATTTTCTACGGGTGAGCCCACATACTGGCCAACTGATTTGAACAAAATTCCAGACCTCCTCGATTTTTTTGTAGCCAAAAATATTAAAAACGAGAGTGTTGAAATAAATTCAAGTCTGGATCTCAGTTCTGATCATTCACCAGTAATTCTTAAATACTCCACTAATACTCCAACCAAAGTCATGAGTTCGCTTACAAACAAATTTACCGATTGGCTTCTTTTCCAAGAATACATCGAAGACACCATTAACTGTAATATTCCATTAAAAAGTGAGAATGATTTGAATATCGGTATCAACAACTTCACAAATACATTAATTGCAGCAGCTAAAATATCGACTCCTATTCTAAATCACAATCACAGTCACTCTGTGCCCATAGATATTAAAAAAATCATTGCACAGAAAAGGAAATTAAGAAGAATTTGGCAAATAACTAGATCACCGGAAGATAAAAGAAAATTTAACAGTGCATGCAGAGACCTGAAAAATTTAATAATAAATTATAAAAATGTTTCTTTTGAAAACTACTTACATAATCTTTCTGCAAGTAGTGAAACAAATTATTCTCTTTGGAAAGCAACCAAAAAATTGAAAAGACCAATTGTACCAATTCCTCCTTTAAGAAAAACAGACGGTTCATGGGCAAGAAGTCCAGAAGAAAAAACTAATGCATTCGCCGAACACCTGCGCCTCACATTTCAGCCATTTTCACGTAAATGCAACTCTAATGATGAACAATTCATTTATGATTTTCTTCAGGATTCACCGTCGCTAGTGACTCATGATGTTAATCGTTTTACTGCGGCTGAAGTAACCCAAGAAATTGCAAAAGCAAATTCTAGAAAATCACCTGGACCAGACCGGATTTCTATTAAAATGCTTAAAGAACTTCCAAGAAAAGCTATTAGAATGCTCACAATAATATATAACTCTATACTGAGAATGAAAACTTTTCCGCAGTCTTGGAAAAGAGCTAAAATAATCCTTATAGTGAAACCAGGTAAAGACCCCTATCTATTATCTTCCTACCGGCCGATAAGTTTATTGTCTTGCATATCGAAAATATTTGAAAAGCTAATTCTTCAACGGATTAAAATAATCCTACAAGAACAAAGTTTTATTCCGAACCATCAATTTGGGTTTCGCGACAAACATTCAACAATTGAGCAAGTTCACAGAATAATAAACGTAATTAACAATGCGCTGCATAATAAAGAGTACTGTTCTGCGGCTTTTTTGATCTCAAGCAGGCATTTGACAAAGTATGGCATACCGGATTAATGTATAAAGTTAAAAGATGTTTACCAGATTCTTTATTCCTATTAATAAAATCCTATTTACAAAATAGAAACTTTTTTGTCAGCATCGCCGATACGGACTCAAATATTACCGAAATTAATTCTGGAGTGCCTCAAGGGAGTGTCCTCGCCCCAACACTATTTTTAATTTTTACAGCTGATTTTCCAACTTCAACTGACACGAGTTTAGCCACATTTGCTGATGATACGTGCATCATCGCCACAAACAAAGATCCGACTGCAGCTTCCAACAGCCTTCAGCACCATCTCAGCTTAGCTGAGAAATGGTTTTCGTTGTGGAGGATAGAAGTAAATAGCACAAAATCAGTCCATATAACTTTCACGCTTCGCACCCAAACTTGCCCAGCAGTTGTACTCAACGATGAAATTATTCCGTCCAAAGAATCAATAAAGTATCTCGGCATTCACTTAGATAGGAAACTCAACTGGAAAGTACACATAAAGAACAAAAAACAACAAATAGATCTAATCTTCAAAAATTATTATTGGCTCTTAAACAGAAAATCAGAATTATCAACTTACAACAAATTACTTATATATAAGGCTGTGATCAAACCCGTGTGGACCTACGGATTACAACTTTGGGGTACTGCTAAAAAGAGCAATTTAAACATAATACAACGAGCACAAAACAAATTCCTGCGGCAAATATTAAACGCTCCTCACTACACGCCAACATGGATTCTCCACAAAGACACGGGTATACCTACAATTCAAGAACATATATCAATGTTTGCCTGTAATTATAAGAATAGAATTGACGCACATCCAAACCAACTAGCATGCAACTTATACCAGGAAGGCCAGCCGACCAGGCTCAAAAGGAAAATACCTCGAGATTTATTATAGTTTATTTTTATATTTATATTTTTTTTTCTCTATATTTGTCTTTAGTTTTTTCTTTTTTATATATTAACTATAGTAGATACACCACTGGGCGTATGTGCTAATTTGTAAACAACCAATTGTAAACACTTGTCAGCATTCTCTGCTAAATATAATTATTTTTATAGATTGCAGAATAAAAATAAAATAAAAAAAAAAAAAAAAAAAATTTCATAATATTTGCAGCAAAGATTTCAAATACTTTTTGGAATATTTCAGCAATATTTGGAGTTTTGGCCTATTTTTGATAAAATGAGTCTGGTTCTATTTATCAAAATGTTAAAAGTTACTCTTAATTATTATTTTTTATTGATTATTGTTTTTATTATTAATACTATTATTTTAATTATTATTTATTCATTTATTTATTCTATTTCTTATTTTTTTTCTTCTTGCTTTTGATTTTCAATACTGTAAGTTTTAACTTATACATTGTATTGTAATCTGATTGATAAAATTAGCAGATATAAAAATAAAAAAAAAATTATCAAAATATTGAAATGTGATTAATTTTTAGTTACTGTGAACAAAAGATACAACAAACAGTTGTCCTGCTTGAGAAGACTGCTCTTCAAAATTATGGATTCGTGATCGTCCTGATGTCAACTGGTATCAATTCAGGAGTCACATCAGCAATAACCACACTTTTGAATCAACTTGTGCTCAATTACTATCCAGTAAGATAATCGACCAGAAACCAAATTAATAAATAAAACTAAAATACAATTTCTGTTTTTTTTACCAGGACAGTGCAGTTGATGCAGGTCTTTTAGGAACCCTAATGGTACTATCAGGTAAAACAACAAGTAATCCAATATAATAAGTTGTGATTTTGTACATGATATTTTACCAAGGTGCTGCCCTGGGTCCTCTTTATGGTCGTGCTTTGGACAAGACACAGTGTTACTGTTTTGCAGCAATTGTGGTCAGTGCTTTGTCAGTTGGGGCCACTTTGGCCCTGACTGCTGCCCTGGTCAGTGGCAGTTTGAGGCTGGTTTATACGGCTGGAGGATTTTTAGGGTAATTGGAATAGAAATATAATAAATAAAGTTATGGACTTACTTATGGATGATAAAAGCTTCTTTGACTCAAAAATTGTAAATGGATAAAAATAATGTTTTTATAATGTGATGGTGGAAAGCTAGATTAGACTTTTAGGAAAAGCTAATGATGATATACTAATTTTTTTTCATCAACTTCCCGTAGGGTAGTTATTGTAATCGTCCAAAAATCGAAATTGAAAATTTTTGCATATATTTACGTTTCAGGGGTTTCTGAACATTTTGGCATACCTTGGAAAAAATGTGTGTGTGTGTGTATGTGTGGATACAATTTTTAGAAGTAAAGTTTCCGTAAGGTAAGTAATAGTTATCTTTTAAAAATAGAAATTGAAATTTTTTGCATATCTTTACGTTTCAGAAATTTCTGAACATTTTCGGATACCTTAGAAATAATGGATGTGTGTGTATGTGTGGATACAATTTTTTAGGGACATTTTCGGAAGCACGGCTCAACCGATTTGAATGATTCAAAAAGCAATCGATTCCTATTGATGAGGAGATGTGCTGATTAGTTTTTGGCAAAGGTAGGTCCAGCCCTTACGGAGATACGGAGCAAAGAGTGCAGAAAATAGAAATCGAGTTTTTGAGAGAACGGAGCATCCGATTTCATGATTCAAAAAACACTCAAATCGTAATGATGGAGAGAAGTGGTGATTAGTTTTTTGGCAAAGACTGGTCCAGCCGTTTCGGAGATACGGAGCTAAATGTGCAAAAAAGGCAGTTTTTCGAGAGCATTCAAAAAACCTACTGCTTGTATTGACGAAACGATTGTTTTCGGGAAAGCAAAAAAATTTTGTTTTTCATTTCAATTTTTTTTTTTAATTTTAATTTTTTTTTTAAATATCGAAAATACGGATTTTAATTTTAATTCTACCAAACGTTCTAGAGCTCTCTTTAATACTTAAAATAAATAATTTTAACCTTTTCCACTCGCGAATTCTGGAATTTGTATGTATTTTGCCGCCGGAGCGGCGGCATCCGAGTCAGTTTATACAATTCTTAGAAATATGAGATAAGATCCTTCATATAAGGGGGCGCACATTAATCACGTGAAGCTTTTAGGGGGAGGAAAAATTAGATAAAAAATAACATGGGGGAGAGAGGGGTCTAGTAAGATATTACGTGTATTTATTGTTTACCTGAATTTTCAAATAAAAAACTTAAATTTCACGATTTTTTCGTGGATTCGTAAAATTTTTCGTAACTAAATATACACGTGATGTTTGATGGGCAAAGAGGGAGGGGGGATAATTTTAAATATCACGACAAATTACTAAGGGGGAAAGGAGCCCCAAAAATCCGTAAAATTCGATCACGTGATTATTTGACGCCCCGTAAAATTTTATAAACGCCATCGTCCAATTCATAAGCCCTTATATTTTGTCTATAAAATACGAATGATGAAAGTTACAGTATTTAAAATAATATATTTGAAAACATTTGATATTCCTCGAATATTTCATTAAGGTACGGAAAGTTCCAGCAATTTGCCTTAAGGCACGATGCCATACACTACTAGATCGTTAAAGTCTGATTATTAATTTTAATGTTTTTCTATTTTTAGGATGTTCTTATGTGCTTTTCCAGTACTTGGTGGAGAACTAGCCTCCGAATTAACGTTTCCAGAACCAGAAGGTGTTGTATCAGGTGTATTGAATACAGTCAGTCAGGTAAATATAAATACGAACCAATATATCATCTTATATATAAAAATGGAGCTCTCGATCAAATGATTCGGTAAAACTCGAAAACGGCTTAACCGATTTGGCCAGTCTTAGTCTTGAAAAATTCGTGCTAATCAGTAGGTTGTCGGAAAGGTGAGATATTATTTCAAAATCGCGTAGAAACTTTACATTTTTAATTTGATTTTTTTTTGTATAAGCGTAATTTAAATGAAACAATGGACGGTGGCCAATACGTCAAATGTCAAACGTTTTTGACAGATGATGTTTCATTACTTTTAATAGGATGTTTTACATGAATATTATTTAATTATGATTAAATTGTAGTAAGTAGTTTTATTTATACACAAAAACGTTATTAAACGGGCCGCAAGTGTTGCTAGAAACTCAAAATATTAACTTTTTCGAAATGTTAATTTGAAAATGCATTTTTTGGCGTTGTAGTACTCTTTTTTTTGCAAATCATATTTTTCTCAAACACGGTGCTCTGAAAAATCTCATTTGTATAATTATACACTCATTGGTATTTATAAAACATTTTCTAGATTATATTATTTTTTATTTATGTTATTTAAATTCAGAACCTAAATTTGGTATCGATCAAAGGGATATTTTGTCGAATAACATTTTCTCAGTTATAATTTCCCAGAATTTATCGAAGAATTGATAGTAATATATGAAGGTCCGGGGTTAAAAAGGTCCACCAGCAATGGTCAAAAACCAGTAAGTTAAGCATTGTTTAACACCAATATTTGAAAGTAGGGGAAAAAGATGTATAACCAGATAACCTTGATTCTCATGACTATGCTATCGGGAGATAAACGGTAATCTTTGAAAACCCATAATAAAAGTATTTTTTTCCGTTGGTAGTTTTTTAGCATTAGTTAAAATGTAATTATTTTCTAAAATGCCTTAAAATTGAAATAAGACTTTAACCTATTTGCCAACTGGACGTTCCAAGTTACCCCGCCTATAGGGTAAAAAGGTCTAGATAACGAATTTTTGAAAGACATTAAAAAAGCACATTTCTACAATGATGAAGTAGCTGACAGTTTTACTGAACGTAGTCAGATAATTGTTCGTTTGAAATGTGTTATTTGTTGTGATATAATTGTTATGGTTTTCACAATATAGTTCATATTTGCTCAAAGTCAAATTGGACCTTTGTGCCTCGCCCTGCTCTACATATTACTTGTAATTAAATTTACTTTAATTCATCGAATGTTACTTGAAACTTTTCAAAAAGCAGGCCAAAGAAGAAATACTTAATTTATTTTCTATCTCTACTCGCAGAAATTGGAAAATTTTGTATAAGCTCAGTAGTATTATTTACAATTATACACAAAATCCAGAATCCAAAAAGAATCTGAAAAACTTGAAACGTAATCAATAAGTCGAAAGACCAAAATGACTTGGATTGGATTATATCATGTTTTCTATAGAAAGTGTATGAAAATTCCAGTTTGATTGTATTGACAAATATAGACAAACTAATGGGGTTATTGTTTTTATAATACCTCATTGTATATGGCATTTAAACAACACATCCTTACACACTAATAGTGTTAATATTTTTGATTCTCTAGAAATTGTTTAGGATATACCTTACTTAGCAAAACAACGTTTGCCGGGTCAGCTAGTCTTATATATAAAAATCGAGCTCTCGAACAAATGATTCGGTAAAACTCATAAACGGCTAAACCGATTTGGCCAGTCTTAGTCTTGAAAAATTCGTGCCAATCCAGAGAAAGTCCAAAAGGTGAGAAATTATTTCAAATCCGCGTAGAAATTTTACATTTTTAATTTGAAAATTTTTAGAGAAGCGTAATTTGAATAAAACAATGGACGGTGGCTAATACGTCAAATGTCAAACGTTTTTGGCAGATGATGTTGAATTACGTTTCACTAATCTAACCTTTCCTCCTTATCCCTAGATCTTCGGTATCATAGTGACCCTATGCATGGTAGAGATCCAAAACTCCTTCGGCGACCTGATAGCCAATCTCTCCTGCTGCTTCCTGCTGCTGATAGCAACTTCCATTCTCTTTCTCTGTCCGAGGGATCTGAGGAGACAACAGACGAGAGCCGATTTAACATATGCTGCAGCAGTGGAGTGCGAGAGCAGGAGGGAATTGGAGAGCATCGAGAAGAGGAAGAAGTTGAGGATCGGTGGTAATGGTGGAGGAGATTTTGATGAAGATGAAGGGATTTGTGTGTAAGATAAGAATTAAGGTGGAAGGGGTTGTGTCATATATAATAGGGCAATTCTGCCGTAACAGAGCTCATAAAATAGCGTTGTCATGGAAGCGCTATCTTATGATTATTCTTGGTATTTGGAATTATGGAAATGTCTAATTTCCGTGCTTTCAGGCGTATTTTACATATAAACAAGCAAGAAAGAATGTTACCATGACAGAATCTTCGATGATGCAGTTGTCATATGATTATTCCTTGCTTGTTTATATGTAAAATACGCCTGATCGCATGACAAATAGATAGACATTTTCATAATTTTCAATACCAAGAACAAGCATAAAAGAGCGTTGCCAAGACAATGCTTTTACGGCAGAATTGCCCCATAAGACTGTTTTAACTTAAGTGATAATAATAATAATAAGGTAAATATTTAATTCTAGATAAATTATTAAAAAAAAATCATCAACTTCTTAATAAGTAGTTACATTTTAGTGATTTAAGTAGACATCACAATTCTAACCATTATTCAATAAAGTCAATAAATTATTTATTACTATTAATAATATAATTAGTTTAAATATTGTATTTTTATATTTTAGTTTTTCTTCAATAAAATATAAAATTATCATAAATATTAAAGAGATTTTGAAATTATATGTTCATTTCAAAACATTTAAAATGTATGAGTGCAAGTATGGTTTGTGTCTGAGATTATCATGGACGGAGTTGCCAGACTTAGTGAAATTTTACATCTTTAGTATTGCCTTATGTCAGACACACATATTACTTATAACATAATAATAAGAAACTAGTTGTGCACGGCATCGTGCCTTGAGACAAATTGCTGGAACATCCCGTATTAAGATAAATATAAAAGCTTATAAATTGGATAACGACGTTTATATAGTTTATTTAAAATAAATAAACAAATTTAATGAAACAGTGTTAGAATGAAGGACCTTATATTTCTAAGAATTGTATAAACTGATTATAAGTAAGTTAAAAAAATAAGTAAAGTTAAATTATTTATTTGAAGTATATAAGTTAGTATTAGAATTCAAATTAAATCCAAATCATTATAGATACTTGAAAAAAAATTTTGTAAACTTAAAAAAAATGGAATTTTAAAATAGTTTTTTTTGCCTTTCTCAAAGACTAATTACTGCTTACTACCAACACAAGCTAAATATTTTTGAATCAATTTAATCGGATGATCCATCCTCTAAGTAACTGCTATTTTCTGCACTTTTATCTCTGTTCTCCCAAATGGGTGGACCTGCCTTTGCCCCAAACTAATCAGCACGTATTCCCATCAGTAGAAATCGAATGTCTTTTATCCATCTAATCGGATGTACCATTTTTGCAAAAGCCGAATATGCATTTTCTGAGATTTTTGCCTCGTATCTCCGAAACGACTGCGCCTGCCTTTGCCAAGAACTAATCAGCGCATCTCCTTATCAACAGAATCGAATGCTTTTCGAATTATTCAAATCGATTGTTCCGTGCGCCTGAAATCGTCGACGAAAATTTGTATCCACACACACATACACAAATTCACATTCATTTTTCTAAGGTATGCCAAAATGTTCAGAAACCTTTGAATCGTGAAGATATGCAAAAATTTTCATTTTTGCTTTTTTGTGATTATTATAACTTATTGTAACCACGGAAAGTTGAAAACCAAAAAATTTCATTAGACAAATTAAGTATTTTATTAACTTTTACTGGCAAAATACCATAAGATAAAAATTCTTTAGTTAGAATGAAAGTAGTCTAATTTATATCAGCCTATAAATCTGTCTATAAAAGTCCTATCAAAATCAGTCCAGCCGTTTGAAGATTTGCCCGAGAAAAAGACTAGAGAAAATATGAAAAATTTCAAGAATCTTCAAAAAATATTACAATAAACCCTCCAAGTTTATTTATATGCATTTAAGTATATATATATATATATATATATATATATATATATATATATATATATATATGTATGTATGCATAGATGTATATGTGTGTGTATGTGGTGCAAATATTCATATAAAGGAGTGAAAGTATTTGCGAATGAAAAAGCAATTCGAATGGAATCCACGTAACATATAATAAAGATAAATTTCGAAAGTGAATCGAAAATACAATAATAATGCTATATTTTAAAGAACACATGCATGAAGTAGAATTAATAACAACTTGCCTTTTGTGCCATTTGGAGGTTAGGTTATGACAGTTGAGAATACCAAAAAATCAAGAAAACATGGTTTACCCTTTACCAAAATAAAATAGAGAATAGCTAATGTTTAGCGTACTCTTATTTGTGACATGTTATTTTTACCATAAAAAACCAGTATATGAAAAAGCTATGATGTTTTGAGATTAATGCCATTTGGAGGTTAGGTTTTGACAGTTGAAAATGACAAGAAATCAAGTTAAGTAAAATACTTCTTAGAAACAAATTAAATATACTTGATTTAGAAAAGATGAGTATATAAAATGCTGATACATCTAGAGGACATTTAGAGCTATACTATGTTATCTTAACATCTATGCCATTTGGAGGTTAGGTTTTGACAGTTGAAAATGCCAAAAAACTAAACAAATTAAATAAATTTGATTTAGAAAAGATGAGTATATAAAATATGATGCTGATGCATCATGGATATTTAGAAATGTGTTATCTTAACATTTATGCCATTTGGAGGTTAGGTTTGGCAGTTGAAATTAAACAAGAAATTAAAGTAAATATTATTCAAGAAATAAAACTTGATTTAGAATTTGATTATATAAAATGTGATGCTTCTACATCATGGACCTGCCTTCGGGCACGAGTCTTTACAATTATGATATCAAATCATTCTATTTAAGATATAAAATGTCGTAATTGTGATTGGGTTATCTCTGAAACGCGTTTCGTAACATTTTTGTCATGATAAAAACAATTAATATTGAAATTTTAAGAATGTTGTCTCTTTAACTTATAGATAACGTTTGATAAGAACATTTTTTAAAAAAAAACTTTATGTAAATAAAATGTATATTTTAGATAAGATATATGAATTTTGAATGAAAAATTATTCAACAAAAATGGAAAAAAAACTGAAAAAAATTAATAAATATATGTTTCTTGGTTGTTTCATTCTCTAAGAACTCCTGAATGATGACACACATGTCGAAACGTACAGAGTGAAATTATCATATTTCACAATTATACTTATTAAATATAACGTTATTATATTTCATTGACTATGATATACATAAATATAAAAAATATAATTTTCATTTTGAAAAAATGCATTTTTTCTAGCTAATTTTTCTTCTAACCAATGCAGTACTATTTTTTATCAATTTGTTTCAAACAAATAATTTTTATCAATTTGTTTATTTTAATAAATAATGCTATGAGTTTTTTTTAAGTATAGGTTTCAGTTTGATTTATTACTCTCTATAAATTCTTTACCAAAGTTCAAAAACCTTTCAAGCCAGACTTGAAAAATATTTCATCTATTAATAACTCATATGTTACGCACATGTGTTTATACGTTTTCTTAACCACAAAATACAAATATATGTATGTATATAATTTATATTTATTTATTTATTTATTTAGCGGATTGTACGAAATAATTCGAGTTTATTAGTTTCTGGTACATTTATTAAGTTCAGCTGTTCATGAAGCTGATTGAGAGAGAGGATTAGTGCGAGAGCCGATAACAATTTATTAAATCATAATATATAATATAATATAAAACCATTATAATATATATATAATAGGAATGAAAATAAGAAGTATAAATAAGTATAAATTGGCTTGCAGACAACTCGTATTATTGAGTTTGAGTTTCTCTTCAGCACTTCTTAAAAAACATATATTGATGTTAGATTTTGCTGTAGTTAGATTTAAAATTTCCAGCCAACTTGCAACTTTTTCAAGAAGTTTGCAACAATGTCGGACGATTGGTAAGATTTTCAGAATATCTAGAGTATTTTCAGACTATCTAGAACATTACGGACAAATTGCAACTTTTTCAAACTATCTAGGACATTTTTAGACTATAATATACACTAACTTTAATAGACACTAACTTTAACGTATTCAGGTAATTTGCAACGTCTTCAAAATATTTAGAATACTTTTAGACTATTCAGAATATTTTCAGACACTACAAAACTATCTTAAGAACATTTTCAGATCATCTACAACATTTTCAGAATATTTAAAACATTTTCAGACAAATTGCAACATTTTCAAGAAGTTTGCAACTTTTCATTCAACTTTTAAAAACATTTGCAGACTATGTAGAAGAGTTTCAAACCATAAACATTTTTAGATGGAAAAAATAGAAACACACAGAAATGTAAACAAAATTTGTATTGATTATTAAAATCTCCATAACATATCTGATATTTTGATATCCATATGTGTAATGATCATTTTTGAACGCCAAATGACATTGTTTTAAATTTTTTTTGGACCTGTGAAATCGCTGAACCTGCCTTATTGAAAATTAAGTCAATTCTT